CCTCTGCCTCCTCCTCCATTCATCTCCTCCTCCTCCTCCTCCTCCCTCCTCCCTCCTACCTTCTCCTTCCTCCCTCTTGCCTCCTCTCTCCTCCCTCCTCCTCCTCATCCTCCTCCTCCCCCTCCCCTCCTCCTCCTCCTCCTATTCCGCCTCCCTACAGTCGGCCCGCATCATATTAGATTGCGCGATGAGGATGCAAGGGCCTTGAACGCCCCTTTCGAGGCTTTTCGAGCGGGGCGCGGCCCACGAAAGTGGCCAAGGATGGACCGAGGAGGCAAGGATGCAAGGATGCGAGGGTACCCTTTGGAAAGCTGCCCATCCTTAACGTGCGGGTTGGCTGTAGTGAAGGTCGCTGGCATCGGTCATTCGTTTCTCCTCTGATCTGGTGCCCATCCTTAACGTGCGGGTTGGCTGTAGTGAAGGTCGCTGGCATCGGTCATTCGTTTCTCCTCTGATCTGGTTTTCCCCCGACCCGACAAGTTGGGGTTGTCAGATTTAAAAAAAAACAGACCTCCCGGCCACTCCCACCTGCATGCCGCGGCCGACAGACCCCAAATTGTCCCGAGAGTCCCGGTGATCCCGCCTCGCGCCCTCGACAAACACGACAGAACACACCCTGCATACCGCGGCCGCCAGGCCCCAAGTTGTCCCGAGCGTACCGGTTATCCCGCCTCGCGCCCTCGACAAACACGACAGAACACACCCTGCATACCGCGGCCGCCAGCTCCCAAGTTGTCCCAAGTGTCCCGGTTATCCCGCCTCGCGCCTTTGACAAGCAAGGCAGAACACAATATGACACAACAGAACATGACAGACCAGAGCAAGATAATGACAGAACAGTGCAGAACAGAACATGACAGAACAGAAAACTACATAACACAACAAACTATAACATAACCGAGCATACCATAAGACACACTGACAAGAACACATCATATCATGACACAGAGTCACTAAACATATCATAAGACGACAGCAGAGCATAGCGGCGAACACGCTAGAACACAACATGTCACACCAGAAGAAACAAGAACATAGCACGAGCATGCTATACTATGAAAGACCATAATATAGCAATAGCATGACAAACAAGATAGTGCTATACCATCACATAACACATCATAGCATAACATGGTAGGACAGAAGGCGACATACCCCAACATAACATATCATAAGAGGGAGAAACATAAGACGACTTGGTACAACATCCCAAATCATAACACTTCATCTCAGAACATATCATAACACGGCAAGGTAGCATATCGCCACATACTCGCACAGCAAGCCAGACTATATTTTACTGTGCCGAGCCGTCCACAAACACAACATCACAGAACATACCAAAACATAGCATGATATAACAGAAGGCGACATAACATCACATCATATAGCATACTATACCAGGGCGTAACACACGGTGACAAGACACATCATACCATGGCACAGCATCACCTCACATATAATAATACGGCGCAAGGCATTGCGAAACATACTGGCAGAACAAACAATAACATAATATACTGAGCCGAACCGTCAACCGCATCTCAGAAAAGAGCATGCTAAAACATAGGCTGTCACAACAGACGACGCATCTAAGTAACGTCACAGGCGTCACGACGTCACGCCAGCCAGTCGACAACAGAAGAGGACATAATAGAGCACAACATGAATGATCGTTACTACATGGAACACGGTTGAACCATTTTCGAATACAGAAGCGGCAGTGGTGCAGCGGAGGAGAGGAATACCACGACGGAATAGGACATATCAACACATACTAACACATCAAATCATACTTTACTTTGTTGAGCCGAGCAGGCAACACCATGACGGAAAACATCAGATTATAACATATGCTGAGGGAACATATCATGCCCTAACATGGTGCCAAAGGGCACAGTATAACATAACGTACCAAATCATGCTGAGGCAGAAGCGTGCGTGACAGAACATACTTTCATGAATGAGATAACGGAAGGGCAGAGGGACATCGTTGACATAATGCACCAAGCGTACAGTTTGGTCAACGTCGCCACAGGAATCAAGAGTCACATCAATGAGCGAAACGACGATGTCTCTAGCGTGACAGGCGTCACAACGTCACGCCGGCCCGTCGATATCAGGACATCAGAGAACACAGCGTCACATTCTACATCGGGGCATAATCCTACCACACACACACGCACACACACACACACACACACGCATTTTAGCACAACATCACTTATACAGTATCCACAACTCGACGGTGTCGCCCAAGCGTCACGACGTCACGCCCGCCCGTCGAGAACATAACTGAACATAACACAGCATAACATGTTAGAGAGTTTCTATGGAATGCTGTCCAACGCTTTAGAATACAGCAGCGGCGGTAATGGAGAGGAGCATCACGGCAGAACAAGCCATCACATGACACAGTATTATATATCATAACCCGACAGAAGAGCATTTCAAAATTGGGACAGGATCGAATCGAACATAACATAGCACAATATTACGTATACGCCAGCTACAACTGCACGACGTCTTCCTGTTGTTTCGCCCTGCACGTCAGCCGCGCCGAGTTTTTGTTTATTGGAAGGTCCACATCGTTGTCTGTCCAGGTTCACCCCGCAATCATCGTCGCGCCACTTCAACTCCCCATCCTCTGCCTCCTCTTCGGGGCGAAAAAACTGCGTCGAAGGGACCCCGGGAGGGGTCCAGGGACAGATTTGAACGCATTTCTCCTCCCCCCCCTCTTGACCGAATTTCTGGGGGCCCACTCAACGCATGGCCGCCCCTAACTCCGAGGTTCGGGTCGCAGGGATCGGCCGAAAGGGGGTGAGGACCCCCCCCCCTTCTTCTTGGTCCGAGGTTCGGGGACACCTGTTGGTGCTTTCTGGCTCCAAGAGGCCCTGTTCGAGCCCCGGGACAGGCAAGCATCTGGAGCCATATTGGCTTTGATTCCGGCGAGCTTACTCGCCGGGGTCAAAACACGCAAGCAAACTCGAGTTTACTTGCGAATGTTGCGTGTGAACTCGAGCACACTTGCGTGTTTACTCCCGTAAAAACCCAGGGGGGTCCTGCCATGCAAGTAAACTCGAGCTTACCTGCGAGGCAGGACCCCCCCCCGGCCTCTGTCTCATACAGCGCTGGGCCGAGGGCTCGCAGGTACGCTAGGCTTAAGTCGGGCCTGTCCCCCTACAGGGGGATTTTCGACGAAAAACAAAAAAACACCCCAGAAATAATAAAAAATAGTCTAAAAATAGTCTGGGGACTACTTTTGGAATATTGTTTCGCCTTTTGTGGAATATCTTTGGTGTATTTTTTAAATTTTTCGTCGAAAATCCCCCTGTAGGGGGACAGGCCGGACATAACGCGAGGCCCTGTCAAGCAGCGCTGCGCCCGGGGGCCGCCGCGCGCCCCGCGCACGCTCGGGGGGGGGGCGGGGAGGACAAGGGCGAGGGGGGGAAGTGGAAGTGGGGGGCGGGGGGGGGCGGGGCGAGGGCGAAGGAGACGAGGGCCAGAAGGGGGAAGTGGAAGTGGCGTGGGGATGGGGGGGGGGGGGGGGGCGGGGCGAGGCGCACGAGGAGGGAAGAGGACAGGGAACAGGGCGAGGAGGAGGGAACGGAGGAGGAGGAGGAGGAGGAGGAGGAGGAGGAGGGGGAGGAGGAGGAGGGGCGGGGGGAGGAGCGAGGACGAGGAGGAAGAACAGGTGCTGGAAGGAGAGGTCCGCCTCACCTCCTTTTTCCTCCTCCTCCTCTTCCTCCTGCCGGAGGTTGACGCAATCTGAGAACAAGGTTTGGGGTATCGCAAAAAGCGTCTTGGGTGTGCTTTTGTCCTCGTCAGGGGCTTTGTGGTTGCTGGAATTCGGACAGCATCAACTTGCGACCTGGCCCGGCCGCCGCGCTGGCCGACGCCGCCGGGCACTGCGCACATCCTTCCAGTAGGCGCGCGCACCGTTGAGACCAAACGCCGAAGGTTTCGGTGAAGTTCGCTCGAAGCGAAATCATTTGTTCCCAACCATCCTGTCGTGTTGGGTCCTCGTCTTGAAGAGACAGCGCCCCGCGCTCCCGCTCTTCTCCGCCTCCCCCACCTCCCTCCTCCCGTTCCTTGCCCCTGCCCTCCGCATGTCCCCGTCGTCGTCGCATGGGCGCATGCAATTCCACCTCCATGTCGGCGCACCCCTCACACATTTCGTGGCCCCATAAGGTGCTCCACAGGAGGCCCCAGTGGCAGCGCCCGCATGCAGCTCTACCCCCACGTCGGCAGTCCAGCCGCGAACGCGCACGCGCTGTGCACCCCTGTGGCGCCCACGTGTGATGACCGCTGCACCGCGACGGCCGCGGCCTGAAAAGCACACGTCTACCATCCGAAGGCAGCTGTTCGCCTGAGACGTCCCCCAAATCGGAGCGACAGCGGGCAAGTGTCCTGCCCCCCGGCGCCAGCCCTCCCTCACTGGGGTGCCCAGGTACTCGCCATCGCTCGGACGTCCATTCCCTGTGCTTTTTTCGGTTTCGTGCGTGGTTTTTTCGCCGGATGATCAAGGATGCTCCTCGATGGCCCTCGCCGAAGGAAAAAATGCACACGTCCGAGCGATGCCACGGGTAATCATTCGCCTTCTGCGCAGCGGCCCCGAAAAAAAGGTGCCCACCTCCAGGAGCCGGCGTTTCGCGTGAGACGTCCCCGAATGCTGGGCGCCAGCGGGCAAGTGCCCTGCCCCGCGGTCGCTCCCCCCTGTGGCGCCCAGGTGCAACTGCTGCTACATCGCGAGCGCCACGCGGACCTGAAAAAAGACGTGCCCCGTCCGCAAAACAAGCGGGCCGCCGGAGACATCCCCGCAATCTGGGCACGAACTGGTCAGTGACCCACCCCCTGCCAGCTCCCCCCCCCTTGTGCTGCTCAAGTGCTATGCCTGCCACATCGCGTTGACTCTGATCGTGAGATGGAGAAGGAAGGAGTAGGATGTCGTTGGTAGGGTATTCGTGGAATGTATGGGAAACGTGCCAATCGTAAACATGCCGTAGAGTAGTGGTCGCGCACGGTCCGCAACGGAGCACTCTTCTTGGCGACGCAGGAATGCTCGCGGCAACACGGCGTAGTCAAGAAAGAGCTGGCGGTACGCGAGAGCGCGAGCCCGCGGTCAGAACGGAACGCACACAGACACAGACACTGACACAGACACACACACAACATCAAACAAAAGAGCTGAAATACTGCATCCGTCTGGCGATGCCGGACTGATGAAGCCCAGCGTCCGCATCGAGATCAATGATGCCGATTCTTGGGCAAGATCATTTGGGCATCCCTCGTCCTTGAACGCCCTCAACCAAGCTCCGATCACGAGGCCGCAGTCGGTCATGCCGCCGGCGGTGTGCGTGGACCGGATTGGCACGCTGCTGAACCTGCTAGAAAACGGGATCATCGGAGGCTACTCTCCCTCCGTGACCCAGCTGCCACTGACGACCAACTTTCTAGCGAAACTGGGCCTACAAGATTGGAAACCAGTCATGTTGGAAGCCTGGGTCAGCGAAAGGACGTGGAGGCTAAAACTCTGACGATCGCGCGTGTCAGCGTGTGGCGGGACCCGCTTCGAACCTGACACGATTTGCTTGCGCACGCCGATTGTCTCCTCCCTCAGCGACCGTCGAATCCTCTCATCCCCAACTCCATGTCCGCCCGTTCTCGACATGAGCGTGGCAACGCGTGCGTGACGCAGTTATGTCCAAACCACCTTCTGTCATGCCACCGTCGCTGCCTTGTTGCCTTCTTCTTCTATGGATCTTCCCCTCTTTACCTGCCTTGCCCCTAGCCGCAGAGCACTTGCTGGTGATGGCGTTCTGGAGGCCCTGAGAAAAAGCCATGAGCTGCAGGGACCAGAACACGCTGCCGAACGAATACTTGGCCACGGCACCTGACCCATGAGGGCGGGGGTGACTGGAGGTCAGGACGCACGAGGCAACACAGCGAGTATCGACGCGGATACCCTGTCGCATCTTTTGCAGGGAGAAGATGGATGTCTGCACGTGCATCGACACCCACATGACCTGGATGCTCATTCCGGGGACCTTCCTGGAGACACTCGCTCCACTCTTGCGTCGAAGCTGCGTTGAATGTCCGTCGACTCGAGTCGACCCTGAGTCGCACCTGAGCCGAACTTGAGTCGAACTCGAGTCGACCTTGAGCCGAACTTGATTCGAACTGGGGTCGAACAAATCCGTTTCGTGGGCCTCAGGACGGTCCCCAAAACGAGCATCGAGAAAACCACTGCTTTTTTGGAATCGGCCATAACCAGGGTTATCCCCAGGGGGGGGGAGAGAAGGGGGCCGGCCGATAGTCGAACCTTCGCGCTGTGGACAGTCCTGCATATGCTCGCGCCCCCCCACCCCGGACCTGCACAACCGGCAAGGTTAGGTTCTCGGGGGGGGGGGGGGGCAAGCCCGATAATCCAGGTAGTCGCCTGACCCTAAAAAAGACAGTCTCTAGCACTGGCCATTCCCAGCGTGGTTTTTGCCGCCAAATGATCAATGGTCCTCGCCGAAGGAAACATGCACACGTCCGAGCGATGCCAAGAGCACGACGATCAACTGAGAGCCCGCGCCACATCGGCACGGCGGTGGGCCTCCGCGGGTCGTGGCGTTTCCAGGCTTCTACACCGTCCGGCGGTTCGAATCATACTGAGAGCCCTGAGCGTACCGCAACGTCTCCCTCCCCCTCCCCGCGGTTCCGCCCAGCTACGCTACTGGCGTGTCCCATGACTCTGTGCAGGGCCCGTGGTGCTTGACGGGGGTTGCCATTCTGCGATCGCCAGCTCGCTCTCGCTGTGCTCCTGCTCATGCTCTTGCTCATGCTCATGCCCTCGCTTGCTCATGTTCATGCTCTCGCTTGCTCATGATCATGCTCATGACCATGCTCAGCGATCGCTTGCTCATGCTCGTGCTCTCGCTTGCTCATGATCCTGTCCGCTTGCTATGGCTCTTTCACTCTCGCCTGCCCTGGCGCATGCTCATGCTCGCCTGCCCATGGTATGGCCGTCCATCTGCAGACGCAACTGTTTATGCCTGCATATTTCGCAAACTCTTGCAAAGTGCCAGTAGTCCTCTCACTATCGATCTCACTATGGGTCTCACTTCCGATCTCATTGTCGATGCCACGATCGATCTTGATATCGGTCCCACTACCGATATCACAATCAGTCTCACTATCGGCATCAGCATCGATCTCACTATCGATCTCACTCCGATCTCACGATCGACCTCACTATCGGTCCCACTATCGGTCTCACTATCGATCCCACTATTGATCTCACTACGGGACTCCGACGCGACCCCGGCGGGACACCGACAAGACACCGACGGGCCACCACGGGCCACCACGGGTCAACACGGGACACCGTTGGGACACCACGGCGGGACACCCCCGGCTACCGACGGACAACCCCACGGGGGCCGGCGGTCTTCTGGCCCGGCGGAGCTCTCGCCGGCGGAGCCACACGCACGCACGCCACGCCCGCTCACGCAGCTGCGCCTCGCCGAATGGCAAGACGCGAACACGAAACCGAAACCGATTTCCCAGTGGGGGGCTCTCCGTTTCACTGCGATCTTACCCCTTCGCATCTGACATCTCCAGCCCCACCCATATGACCACCCTTCGGGTGACAAGGACGTTTCGGGGGGGAAGCCTACTGATTACAAGTGCGATGAGATACCATCGGGACGCCCTGGGGACAAATAAATGCCACCATCGAGACACCATCAGGATACCATCGGGACACCATTGTGGTCCATCCGTCAAATACTGATTGGTCTATACATCTCGCTATCGGCCTCATTCTGGGTCGCGCTATCGATCTCACTGTCTATCCCACTATCGCAATCACTCTCGGTTCATCGATATCACATCGGTCTCACTATCGATCTCATTATCGGATCCGCTACCAACCGCACAGTTGATCCCATTACCCATATCACCCTGTTTGTCGATCTCACTACCTGTGTCACTATCGATCTATCAGTCTCACGATCGCCCACACTATCTCACGATCGCGTTCAATATCTGTTGATCGATATCACGATTGATCTCGATGCCGATAACCTTATCAATGGGTCCCACCTATCCATCTTAAAATCGATCCCACTATCGATCGACCGATCTCACTTTCGATCGGTTTCACGATCCGTCGATCTCACTATGTATATGTCTATCTATCGATCTCACCGGAAAAATCTCGAGACACCCATCGGGGCACCAATTGGGACACCTCTGGGACACCTTCGGGACACCATCGGGACACCAGCGGGACACCACGGGACACCACCAAGACACCATCGGGAGACCATCGGCACACCTCGGGACACCACGGGACACCACGGAACACCATCGGGACACCATCGGGACACCATCGGGACACCATCAGGACATCATCGGGACACCATTGGGACACCATCGGGACACCATCGGGACACCATCGGGACATCACCAAGACACCAGCGGAACACTACCGGGACACCGCGGGACACCACGGGACACCACGGGACACCACAGGACACCATCAGGACACCACGGCGAGACACCCCCGGTCACCGCTAAACAACCTGCGGGGGGCGGTCTTTTGGCCTGGCGGCGCTCTAGCCAGAGGAGGGTTCATTCCCCTAGCCTGCCCACGCAGCTTCGCCTCGCCCGCCCGCACGACACGAACACGAAACCGAAACCGATTTCCCGGTAAAGGGGGTCTCCATTTCACTGCGATCTCAACCCCCAACCTCCGATACCACGGTTCATTATCAATATACACCCCCTCGCCAACCCGACCGGCGGCAAACCCAGGACTATGTGGCCCCCCCCCCGCCATTCCTAACAAAAGCGATACAACAGGCCCGTTGCACCAAAATCTGGATCATGCGCGGCGGACGTCCCGCAATCACTTCGCATTGGTTTTGACAGGGCCGGCGGGGGGGCTGCCACATCGCCTGCTGTGCGCAATGCCAAACCCAATTTGCGCCAAAATCTGAATCATGCGCGGACGCCCCGCGACCACTTCGCATTAGTTTTTAGTAGGGGCGGCGGGGGGTCCAGCATATTGCCTGATGAGTGCAGCGCCGACACTCCCCAACCATCCCTTGAAAAAAACACTACAAACCCAGACATGAGACGTCCTGATTTTTTCAAGACGGCGTCCCTGGAAATCCCGACGCTGCCCCGGGACCGGTTTTTCGTCCCGATTCGTTGTTTGACGGTCCCGAGGCCCGGTGGTCCCGAAGAACGGTGAGGGCCCCTCGGGGCCGAACATAGCAAGCAACCTCCCGTCCTGATTTTGTTTACGACGCGATTGTGTCTGGGAAATGCGCTTCGCATCGAAAGCTCTGAAGCCAAGACGCGACTGTAGAGCGTGCGCGCACGCCCAACGATCACTGCGCGTCGGTTCTTGGACAGGGGCGGCGGGGGGGGGGCGGCCGGCACACTGCCTGCAAACAAAGCAACAATTAGGTCGGGCATGTCCCCCTACAGGCATTTTTTTGACGAAACAATAAAAGTTCTCAAATACTCAAAAAATGGTCAGGAATAGTCCAAACATCGTCCCCAGCCTATATGTTTTTTTAGACTATTTTTGAGTATTCCCCCTGTTGAGGGACACGCCCGACTTCATGCAACGTTCCCACTTCCAGGGGCGGCGGGAGGGGGGGGTTGGCATGCTGCCTGCGCTGTGTGCAAGCCCGCTGCGACTGCCAAGAACAAGGGCAGCGTGATTGCTGGGTGCACGCCCACACAAGAAGAAGCACGATGCTCGCAGATCACCCGTCGCTGGGCATGGGCTTTTGCCAGGGAGGGGGGAGGGCGGTCGAGGTATTGCCAAATGTGGCGCACCTCGAGGGCATCGCGCACCTGGCTGGCGTCTGCGTCGGTTACTGAGGGTTGTCGATGGCGGCCCCTGCCTATGCTGAGACTCGAATGCTATGTATGTATAACCAGCCTCGAACTTATCCCTATCCCTAAGATCGGCGAGCAAAAAGCAAGGACAATCTTAGGGATTGGCCCTCAGAAACTGAGGGAATCCTTAAGATCGGCATCGAGGTGAGGTGACGGCAAACATTGGGATAGGGATAGGTTTCAAGCTGGTAAATGTAGTGGGAGCGCGGGTGCCAGTGAGCGACACGGCTTGCGGCTTGGGGTAATTAGCTAGATCCCTATCCCTACCCCTGTCCCGATCCCCCGATCGTGGCCCCCCCATCGTGGCCCCCCATCGTGGACCCCCATCTTGGCCCCCATCGTGACTGCACAGAGCTGTTCAGGACCTTCTGCTGGAAGGGTGTCATGTCTGTGTATGCTGATGCTTCTTCTTCTTCTTCGGACTTTTCTCGGGTGTTGCTAGAAGTGCCCCTGGCCCAAGGTGCCCCCAGCTTTTCGCTCCGTCTTGGAGCCCCTGGGGCCCTCTGGGCCTCGTGAGGGGTGCCAAGGAGGCCGTCCGGGTTACCTTGAGAATCCTGGGGGTACCTTGGGCCAGGGGTACTTCTAGCAACACCCGATTTTCAGGGGCAACATCGACCTGGAATCTGCGATACGTCGCCGGCAGCTCGGCAACCTGCCCCCGAGGCCGCATCCGCACGGTCCTGAGCGGGGCGGGCTGTCGGCCCCCCGTCGGCGATCACCGGGCGATGGGGGGTCGATGCGTCCCACCCGGAACAGTCCCCCTCTCACGTTGCCGCTGCACCTTGGAGGCGGCCGGGGCGTCTGAACTGGTTGGGACCCAGAAAATCGGCCAGGGGGGGTGAAACCAAATGCGTTCAAAATCTGTCCCCAGACCTTTGTGGGCCCTGGAAACAGCAGGGCCGTTTTTTCACCGTTTCC